ACTTACAAGAATGTAGGTTCTCAAATTTAGGGATTATTGCCAATTTGCTTGAAGAAAAATGGTATCTTTAGTTTTAATTTGCATTCTTTTTAAGAATGAGGTTGAGCCTTTTTATATACATATGTTTATATGAGCCTTTTTATATACATATGTTTAAAATTCAACTGCATTTTTTTCTATGAATTCATTAGTATCTTTTGCTACTGGGTTACTGTTTTTCTCTACTTTTGCTCTTTACAAATTAAGGATCTCAGCTTCTGTGATTTAAATTATAAATGCTGGGGCACGTGGGAGCCTGTCAGGTGAGTGTCTGACCCTTGGTTTCTGCTCCGGTCACGTGGATTGTGAGATGGAACCCCACTCCGGGTTCCTTGCTTGCCGGGGAGTCTGCTCAAGATCCTCTCTCTGTCTCCCTCTGCCCCTCCCCAACTTTTTAAAATTTGTAAATATTTCCCCCAGTGTATTATTTGCTTTTTGTTATTTCTAGACATGCAGAAATTGGCTTTTATAGAGAGTCAAGTGCATTAGTTCCCCTTATCACTTGTAGATGGTGACTCACCATTGGAAGTTTCTGTACTTCCAGGTTCTAAGAATCACCTATGTTTTTGCTAGTATCTAGATAGTTTCATTTTTACATTTAGATCTTCCATCTATTTGGAATTTGTATGGTGAGCAATGGATGGGATTTTATCCTTTTATATATATATATATATATCCTTTTCCTGATTTCCAACATCATTTTTCTGATGCCTTCTGCTCCCTCACCTGACGTAGATGCTGCCTTTATCACAACCAGGTTTCCATGAGCACCTGGTCATACTTCTGGATCCTCTGTCCTATGACTCGGCAGCGGCTCTTCATGTTTGGACCACATTATTTCATTAATAAGTATGTTTTCATGTCTGGCAATACTAGCTCTCCCTCCTTGCTCTTGTTTGCAGGGATTTCCTGGCTATCTTTGCTTATTCTTCCAAATAAGTTTATAACTAATTAGCTTATGCAATTTAGAAAAATCCCTAATGACACTTTTTTGGGTATCACATTAAATTTAGCTCTGGGAGAACTGGCATCTTTCTGATGAAGACCCATGCTGCCCACAAATGTGGTCCGTCTTTCCATTTGTACAGTTCTACTTCTGTATCTGTCAGTACTGTTTTAGCACTTCTCATAGAAGTTTTGCAGGTTGCTTGCTAAGTGTTTTCCTAAATAATTTGGTTTTTATTACTATAAATAGGGACTGCTCTCCATTATTTCTTCCATCTGATTACTATTTGTATATGTGAAGATTCTTTCTATATATTAATCTTATATCCTCCACTAAATACTTTGTAGTTTTCCAGATTCCTTTGGGTTTTGCAGATACATAATCATATCATCTATATAACAGCAACTGTTTTACTCTAATTCTTAGTACCCTTGCTTTTTTCCTTTATTTTTTGCCTAATACACTGGATATAACACAATGTTAAATAAGAGTGGATACAATGTGGGGCAGCCCAGGTGGCTCAGCAGTTTAGCGCCGCCTTCAGTCCAGGGCCTGATCCTGGAGACCTGGGATCGAGTTCCCACGTCGGGCTCCCTGCATGGAGCCTGCTTCTCCCTCTGCCTGTGTCTCTGCCTCTCTCTCTCTCTCTCTCTCTCTCTCTCTGTGTGTGTCTCTCATGAATAAAATTTTTTAAAAAATAGTAGATACAGTGTATCCTTATTTCTGACTTGAATGGAAAAACCTCTGGTAGCTTTCCACTGGAGTAAGATGCTGGCTTTAGGGAGTATGTGTTTGCCTACACACTCCCCTCTTGGGCAAGGAAATGTCAATTCTCATTTGTTTTTACTATGTCAATGCCTTTCTTTTTTTTTTTTTAATTTTTTTTATTTTTATTTATTTATGATAGTCACACAGGGAGAGAGAGAGAGAGGCAGAGACATAGGCAGAGGGAGAAGCAGGCTCCATGCACCGGGAGCCTGACGTGGGATTCGATCCCTGGTCTCCAGGATCGCGCCCTGGGCCAAAGGCAGGCGCCAAACCACTGCGCCACCCAGGGATCCCTGTCTATGCCTTTCTGTATCAAAGTATCATCATTTTCCTCCATTGCTCTATCAATATGATGAACTATATCAATGGATTTCTAGATACCAAACCACTTTGGATTCCTGAAATAAATCTCTCTGAGTCACTGTTAACAGAATATGCTAGATTAAGCTGATGTAAAAACGGCCCCTGATTTTATCAGAGGCTTACCATGGTTATTTCTTGCTCATGCCACATGTCCCACTGTATGTCAGCTGTAAGCTCTGGTTACATATCATCTTCATTCCAGAACCTAAGTCCCCGGAGTAGTTTAAGCAATACTGATTTTAAGGAAGAGAGAAAAGAAGACATGGTGAACCAAGAGCTGACACTTAAACCTTCTAGTCAGAAGTCTTACATATTCCTCCCATTCACAAATTCATTGGCCAAAAAAGCCACAGGATAATCCCTAAGTTCAAGGCAGGGATGTATAATCTTCCCATAGGCAAGGCACCACAGTATTTTGTGAAAAATAATACAATATATCACTTACTATATGTCACTGGGTTTGGTTTGCTAAAATTCAGAATTTTCCAAGAACATTCATGAGAGATTTGTCTAGTTTCTCACCTTATAAAATGAACTTGGAAGTACAAAATTACTTTCTTACTCAGTCTGCAAGGTGACTGACACTAACATAGTAGCTAAATTTAAAAGCTAAGTATTATGAGGTGAGTATAAGAGGGAAAATAATTTCTGCTTCAAAGGCTTATTATTATATGGCATTTACCATACCACATGTAAAAAAATAAAAGTTAAAAAATTAAAAAATAATTACAGGATCCCTGGGTGGCACAGCGGTTTGGCGCCTGCCTTTGGCCCAGGGCGCGATCCTGGAGATCCGGGATCGAATCCCACGTCGGGCTCCCGGTGCATGGAGCCTGCTTCTCCCTCTGCCTGTGTCTCTGCCTCTCTCTCTCTCTCTCTCTCTCTCTCACTGTGACTATCATAAATAAATAAAATAAAATAAAATAATTAAAAAAAATAATTACAAAGCAAACAAAATATGTGATCTGTGATACATACCTATGTCTGAGAGGCCTGTTTTTAATATTTTTACCTCCTGCTTTTCTACTCTGGATTGTAAAATGCCCCAGTTTTTCCGAACACAGTCCTGACAGTACTCTCAAATGAACTACTCTGCTGAAGTCGGCCAAAAGACAAGCCTGGGCTGTGAGCAGGTTTCTAAGGAGGCGAGAATCCTGTGGGTGAGGACTGGAGGTTTTCCCAATCCTCCCGCCGCCTCCTTGACCCCTGTAGTCATCAGGCCTCCTGTGTGGACCAGCAGCTTTGGCCCAAGCATCCCAACAAGCAGTATAAACACTGCCTCACTTGTAAGGCAAGTGTTTGGTAAGTATTTAGTCATATTTTTTCAGACAGACAAACTGAAAACACCAAACAGTCAAGTGGCCTAAGGCTAGTTCCCTTCTTAAAAACCTGGAGCTGCTGCCTATTGAATTACCTTGACCTTTCCACTATAACAGAGACCAGAGGCCAGAATTTGTCAAGTTCTGGCTTCTTCACATACATGTAATTTATTTCACTTTCATCTTTGCTGTAGCCAACTTTACCAAAACCAGGAGTAATAAACCTTGTCTTATCAGGTATTAAAGTCCCTGGACTGGAGGACTTGAAGGGAAGAGAGGTAGGAGGAAGCTAATTCTAGAAAAATGCAATAAATGACGGTAGAAAGTCCTACTGGCCCTGTCATGACGCATTCATCATGGTCTCTTAAACCTTCATTAACTATAGAATCATATGCTTACTCCAAAATATCTGTTGCATGGCACATGCGACACGTGCAAAATGCTAACGCTGGCACATGCTATGGCCAGCTTACCTTTCCAGGGCTTTCTTTTACCACGTCGTCAACTAACCTATACCCCGACTGAACTGCCTATCATATTTCTGGGGCATAGGTCACATTTCTCCTGTTGAGGCCTTTTCTTGTGTTGCTCTTCCCACTTGCAACCCACTCTGTCATGCCTGAAATCTTAGACCTTACGGCCCATCAGATCACCACTCCTAGATTCCTGCTAGTCAGTATCTCACTCTTCTACATCATTTTAGCACCACTACTTGAAACTCTTTTGGCGTAGTATCATGATACTCTGTGACTCTCGGGTCCCTCCCCACCCACTCAGCATGCCAGCTGGTAAGCAACTTAACAGGGGAGAGAGCAAGCCACGTCTTGTGAGGAAAGACACATGGGAGTCATACTTCCATTTGTTGGCAGTGATTTCTGATTTGTTGGCTGTGCTCTCTCTTCCACAGTTTTTAGAATTATAATTCTGGTGAAGCCCCTTCTCCAGACCCTGTCCTATTATGGGGTATGTGGGGGGGGGGGGTGCACTTGCTCAGACTGCTTATGGGGAAAGAGTTGCTTTTCCTCTGATGACAATGCATTACAAGATGCCCTCAAGGTAGTTAACTGGAGTCAATGGCTGAGTCACAGTGATTACTGAATATACAGGAAGTAGTGGGCTGCAAACACACATCACTGTCACGCTCAAAGCAAGGAAAAACAAGGTCTGTCTACTGTAATGACCTAAGTTCCGGCCTGTTCACAATCATCCAAGAAGGTAGTAGGTACATCCATGGAAGTAAACTGGAAAAAGTAACCTGGATGGTGACTTCCAAATAGAAATCAAGGCTCTTTTTCATGATATAATACTATCTCCTGTAAGTTGGATTAGAAAGCCTCTTAATTAGTCCAAACTCTACAGAAAAACTGCCACTTGCTTTTACTTTAAGAACAGATGGCCCACCCGGACCCTGGTTTTCTATGATTTGGCAACAGCATGAAAAACAAACAAACAAACACTGAAAGGAAGTAAAAGTTGGAGGAAAATCAGATATGAAGCAATAAACTTACACATATACAATAAACAGTATGTAATTGTTCAAAAATAAAGCAGCACAAAACTGCATACAGTGTTACCATTTACTTTACTATACAGGTTGTAATATTTATCAATAAGCATTGGGCAAAAGTGCTCTCAGAGAAAGACTCACTTTTCCCTCTCTAATCTATTCAAAGAACGTTTGTTTTTAAAGAAACAAGCTCCAGAATAGAAATAACTTCCACCGGTTGAAGGCCTCATGCTCTACCAGCATGTTTAAGCTCAATAAGTGAATATTAAGAATGTAGGAAAAGAGCTCATGAATGTCCTTTATTGTGGGCAATTATAACCATATCAAGCCTAATCACACTGGCCTTTTCAAAGCAAAGTATCAGATTTCTGGTTTTCATCAGCTCCCGTGCTCAGAAGGAAGGAAGATCTTTGGCTTCATAATACTCTTCCCTCATAAAACAGGTTAAACCTAAAGGTGTGCGTCTCTAATACGGGCTTGTTGGCAAAGCAGAAGGATAAGGACCTGCTAGCTTTAAATTATCATTCCTAAATTAGTTTTGCATGTGCTATGGACACATAGAAATACTTTAAGCTTCTGAAATGTTTGGATTAAAGCAGTTATTTTGCAAATCTTCAATCAGGCAGGCAGTAGGTGATTAAAACAGAAATAAGATAAAACATCAGTGAAGCAAAAGAAAATACTCCGAAGGGACTGAGAATGTTCATAAGCTACTAGGCAACATGAATTCAGGGTAGGGCATCCTTACTATTAACACTTAAGGACCTCCTCAGGGCTAGTCAGTCTCGGTCTTCTCAAGGATGGAACTGAAAAATACGGCGGGGGGAGGAGGAAAAAATTAGATGACAACTAGCAAAAATCAATAAACACCTTTGTTAATATGGATCGCTTTTATTCTGTACTTTGCTTTTAGACAGTGAATTTTCAAATAAATTCTTATAAATTTGCAGTAAAATTTTCACTTCTGATTAAAAAAAAAAAAAAAACCACCACACAATAGTTGTGGTCAAATTAGAAATTACACCAAAATTACCATATGACAGTACATACAATCACCCCTAGCGACTGGGAAACTGGCTCCCAGCCACGGAGGGCACGCGGTGAGGAGGAAGGGCCCTGCCGGGAGCAAACAGTCTTTCTGATCATCTTTACTCCTCTTTGACTTCATGACCACTGTTCCCACTGTGCTGGAACACAGGAATCTGCTCACCATCCTTGAGCTTTAAGAAGACCTCCTGAAGGTGCCACCTGAGAGAAACCAAAAGAATAGTCTCCTCTCTAATCGTACAGCAAGGCAAATCCATGGTGGGGGGGGGGGAGCAGTTACTTTTTGAATAATGTCTTAAAATTTTAAACACTATTGTACACTGGAGCTATGTTAGCATAATATTCTAACTTTGTATTATGGACTCATTGTCTAACCAGCATCACTGTTAAGGCAAGTTTAACAAGGAATGAATGACAGGTGAATGGAAGGGGCCTCAGGGGAGAGGAGAGGCTTATTCCCCATTTCCTAATTCACATCAACCTTCCATTCCTGGCTGGAACTCAGCCAGCTCCTTCATTAATCCCAGGCGCAGGGGTCAATGAGCCCAGGGGGAGCCAGGTGGGGGTTGCCTAAGGGCTGCTTGCTCCTTTTGTCCTGGGGAATTAAAACACATCTTGGCTAAACAGCAAGCATCTCTGAGAGAGGCTTCCCAAGGGGGAAGTGAGTGAATGTAGCTACTGGCAACCAGACAAGAAAAGCCAATTAACGGGGTGGAGATCTTATAGAAAGAATGTGATGAATAATTCTGGAACAGGAACCCATGCCTTTCTTCATTTGTAATGACCGAGGCAGTAGTGTTAGAAGCTGCAACACAGCATCAATTACCATAGATCTAGACCACTGTAACTGTAAAGTTCTTCACAGTCAGCAACATAAGGACAGCACAATTCACGCGATTGTACTGGATAAAATGTCTGGATGAGCTAAGAGCCAAACACACTGGCTTGGCATCCAGGCCGTGGAACTTTTCGAGCTTTGAAAAATGAACTGTTATTCCTGCAATCATTTCACTACAAATGAAAACGGCAATCAGGCTTGTTGCGATCAGAAAGTTCTCTTCCTGCTCCCCCATTCCCAGCCACCCTCCACAATACCTCTGAAAGGGGGCATCTCTGGATGAGCTGACATAGAGATGGCCCTCTGACTTGGATCCAGAGACAGGAATCTTCAACTGGGGGTTAAAAAATGTGAGATACAATTGGATACATTGTTGTCCTCTAAGGAGAAGAAAAAAATGCTATTTTCAGAGCGAACCCTAAGAAGTCCAAAAGTCATTCACATAATCGGTTGTTTTCTAACTGAGCCTCGCTGCAGAACTGACCTGATTTTCCATCTGGCTCCCTCCAAATGTCCTGCCCCTCTTTGGGTGGTTTGGTGAGATCAATCGCAGTCCTCCTATTGGGCAAAGGGACCTTATGTGCAAACTCAATGCTCTGAGTACTGACAATGATACTCAAAACACCACTGCTAGAAAAGAACAAACTACAGGTACTTGCAACAACACGGATATCAGAGATAGACCAAGTGAAAGACCCTACCCAAAAATATATAATGCATGATTTCATGTTCCAGAACAGGTTAAAAATTATTAGAAAAGTGATGGTCTCCAGCGGGGCTGAGGGATGTGAGAGGACCAGTAGGGGAGAGCATGAGGGACTCTGAGGTGAACAGCCTCCATCTAGATGGGGGCATGGGTTGCACAGGTGTATGCGTCTATTAAAATTCATCAAAAAGATTTGTACCTTTCCCTAAATGCAAATTTTACCTCAAAAAAAGAAAAGAACGATAAACAAATATTAAACTCTGGCTAATGATATGTTGCTTATGTGTTTAAATGAAGTGTATGGATGTTTGAAAATAATGTGTTCATGGACAGAGATATGGCTAGGACAACAGATAATGGGATAAAGCGGATCAAAATATTATAGCTGACCCTTGAACAACATGTCAAAAATCGCAACTAACTTTCGACTCCCCCAAAACTTTACTACTAGCCTACTGTTGATCAGAAGCCTTACTGACAATGTAAACAGTTGATTAACACATATCTTGGTTGTCATATGTATTTTACATTGTATTCCTACAATAAAGCAAGCTAGAGAAAAAAAAAAAGTTAAAATCATAAGGAAAAGCAAATACATTTACAGTATTTTATGTCCTGAAAAATCTGTGTATTAAGTGGGCCCATCCAGTTCAAACCTGTGTCATTCAAGGATCAACTCTAATCGAATCCAGGTAGCAGCTATGTGGGTGCCACGGTATAAATTCTTTTATCTTTTCTGTATGTTTAAAACCTTTCATAATAAAAGAGAAAAAAAAGTCCACTGTTTAAATGGAGGAGCTATTACCAGCAATTTTTAGGGGGCACATACTCTGATCTGGACCGTAAAGAACAGGCTTTGAGGAAAGTGTGTGGAGGCTCCTTTGGGAAAGATGGCAAGGGGTTCTTGGCCAGTTCTTGGGCCCCAGTGACTGCGGGCTGGGCCCACACCACATGGGGGACGCTGCCCAGATGCTGCTGTGCCCTGAGCCAAGGGATCAGCCTGGGAGCCTCAGAGCGAGCCGGGACATACCACTTAACACTCCTACTTAGAAACACACTGAATGTAGAATGTTCGATTTCTCAGTGAAAACTAAAGATGGTTTGAGCCTTTGGAAAGGGACACAACGTGGTGGTAGGGAAGCCTGTTATCAGGCACCTGCAGGGCCCCAGGTGATGGGACACACTTCTTGGGCCGCAGGTGATGGACAAAGGTACTTTCAGGAGCTAAGAGATGGCTTATCTCAGCCGCTCCAAACTGCTACCGAGACGAAGAAGTGCTTGGTATATACACCCAACATCTGTGTTTATTCTCCCTCTTTCGTTTATTTGAACACACTATACAGAAGAAAGACACGGGCTTTGGGATGATGGCTCCCTTGCCCGAGTGGAGTAGTCCCCTGTCACGCTAAGACAGTTCTGCAGGTTCCACTTTTGGGACAGAGCCCCCCTTTTCTTGGGATTATAAAATGAAGCAGCAGAGCCCAGACTGAGCATCTCTGCATTCTACAAGAAAACACAAGAAAGTTGTGTGTATGTGTGTGGTGGGGTGTGTGGACAGAAGCAAGTAGGACGGTGACCAGCAGCAGACACTGCCTTCCGGCAGCTGCGTTAACACACAGCTGACTGTAGAGGAGGTGAGTAAAGAACACTGAGAAAATGTCATACGTGCTCCGTAAACTGAAGAGCAAGAGCTGACCTTGAATTCTCGTCCCTGTTGAACTATGGTGCTGCCACGTAACAGAAGCCCAAAGCCAGCACCAGAGCCAACACTGCCGTGTGTCGCGGGAACCCAGGCTGCAGGAAGCCGGGGGTGAAGCCCTCTCGGCACCTCTCACAGTGTGCCCCGATTCTGGACCAAAGCAAAAGCTGGACCTGACCAGAGAAGCTTCCCTACCACAAGCACGATGGTGTCAACCACTCATCAGGGCACCAGAGCAGAGAACTGATGCTGTGTCAACCTGCCCTCAGCAAAGGCGCTTGCAGCCTTCCCGAGCATCAAAAGCAGACCCAGTGCTCTGTGCTGCAGACACAGTGAACAGCCAGAAGAGCCATCCCACATGTTGTGACAGGCTTGACGACAGTGCACAGAAGGCCATCTGGCACTCTGCACCTGTCCGCCCCTTCCCTTTTCTCCTCCTGGGCTCCTCCTCTCGCCTAGTGGTACTGCCACCCTTCCATTCACCCAGGTTGGACATGAAAGCATCACCTCTGACCCACCTTCTCCTGACAGAACCAAGCCACAGCTCTGGCCCATGCTCTCACCACTGCACATCTGCATGGCGATGCTGCTTTCCTTAAGGCAGTTCCCCATACCTGTTCCCTGGATATCATCAATCAGCTTGAATTTGCTTTCTTTTAAAGCCAGATCAAATACATTTATCAAAATATTTGAGCTTGAATGGCTTTTGTAAGAAAAATATCCCAATGAAACAATTCCCATTAAAAAATTCATAAAAACAATAACCCCAAAAAAACTAGATTAGGTCATCTTGCTCTTATCCTTAAAATCCTTCCGGCTTCTGCTGGCCCCAGAATCAAGTGTGCACACTTCACATGATGATGTCACGGCCCTGCAGCCCAGCCCAGCCCAGCCCAGCTACCCACATCTCCCTCCACAGCCTGTACCTCCACTGAGTTCACTCTGGCAGGAAACACGGCGGCACGCCTTCACGTGCATGCTGCACCTGGGCCTGGCATTCCTTTCTTCTACGACAATATTCCAGGTCAATACCTGCTCCCTCCGGAGCCACTACAACAGCACTTGCCTCACCCTGTCTTACTTGGAAGTTTTAAGCTATAGTCCTTGAAAGCCTGCATCTCTATATTCCCCCACACAGCATAGAATCATTCCTTTAACTTGACATGAACTCAAAACATAGTTGTCAGGTTGAGTTTCCTGGCTGAACAATAAAAGAACATCAGATGCAACTGAGAAAATGGGACTGGCTTCCCTTTGAAGCAATGCAAATAAATGGGCAGCAAAACTACATTTTCCAGAGTTGCTCATATTTGAATGAGCACCGACTGGCTGTGGATGTACTTCAAGTTCAAAGCTGAAGCTGTGGCTCCACCACCACGCTCACTTTCCTACAACCTTCAGGTCAAGATCACCTCCTTCCCTGCCCCATTAATTCCTCAGAAAGGAAGAAAAATATAGGAGAATAAATTAACCCATACAGCCTTCAGAAGTGCTCAGTAAAACCTAGGGGCAGTTTTACTCAGTGAATTTTCTCATCAAATCTTATTCCAGATTCCTCCTAGACTCCCCCCAGATGGTGGCAGCCCTCTCCTCGACTTTGATAGGCACTCAGCCTGAGTCTGCACGGGAAGCACATTACCTGGGCATCGGCAATGTCCACAAAGTTGTACTTGTCGGTGAGGTGGAGATAGTGGATGTGGAGAGGAGGGCCCAGGGCTTCCAGGGCCTCAGGGTGGCTGTGCAGCTGCTCCAATGCCAGCTGGTAATAGGAAGCCTTGGAGAAAGCTTCTAAAGGGGAAAGACAGTTGTTATACATTTATTTTTCTTTTTTCAACTTGGTAGACTCTCTGCAGAAAGTCAGAGGACACAATTCACGTACAGCATGGAAACAGAAACAAATGTGAAATTTCTGGATAGAAAAATAATTAGGGGGATCCCTGGGTGGCGCAGCGGTTTAGCGCCTGCCTTTGGCCCAGGGTGGGATCCTGGAGACCCAGGATCGAATCCCACGTCGGGCTCCCAATGCATGGAGCCTGCTTCTCCCTCTGCCTATGTCTCTGCCTCTGTGTGTGTGTGTGTGTGTGTGTGTGTGACTATCATAAATAAATAAAAATTAAAAAAAAAGAAAAAAGAAAAATAATTAGGGACCATCCACTGTTAAGCTGTCCATTTTAGAAAAAGTCAGTATCTGCGGGAATATGGTAGATAAACGTGAGCAAGGTATTTGATAGTCCTGTGCCTCAATCTCTCCATTTCCCGTTTCCTGCCTCACACACTGCCTCATTTCTTCATCAGGGGATTGGCTTGGAGCTTCTCCAGTTTTCCTTTTAGTTCTAAAGTCGTATGATTCCATGACTGGCTCAAAGTGACACAGCCCAAGGCAGAGCTGTGGCCACAGTCTATGACTCTGAACTTTTACACACTGCTCCCTCCACTAAGATGAAGGTCCTGATAAACCGGCAAAAAAAAGGACCACAACTTCAACAACAACAAAACCCTTGGGCCAAGAAACAGAAACTGAAAATGCTAATTTGTCATGTTTATATATTTTTTAAAAAAACATTTTATTTATTTATTCATGAGAGACAGAGAGAGAGAGACAGAAACACAGGCAGAAGGAGAAGCAGGCTCCATGCAGGGAGCTCAACTTGGGACTCAATCCCAGGTCTCCAGGATCACGCCTGGGGCTGAAGGCGGTGCTAAACTGCTGAGCCACCCGGGCTGCCCATCATGTTTATAGATTTTTTTTTAAATCATGTTTATAGATTTAAGGTAACATTTCATGTAGGTAAAGCCTTTAAATTGTCCTCAGTCGCAGGTACACTTCTTGGTCCAAAGGCTACTAGTAGAAGCCCCTCCCTGAAGGTGTAAGATAGACAAGCTGTCCCTGGGAAAGAGCAAAAGTAGGCTTCCCAAGTAGGGTTTTCAGTTTGGCAACAAGAAAGAGCTTCCTTCCTACAGGCCTGATCTCAATTTTGGGACAGAAAGACACGTTGAGCCTGTAGGGGCCAAGGAAAATGCCCCTCGCAGGCTGCATCCCAGGAGTGGGCTTGTAGGGGATGCTGCAGGTATGAAAAGGTGCCAGCCAAGATAAGAAGAGGAGCAGTGAAGGCTGGCTCCAGATTTTCATGGCTAGACACTGTTCTCAATATTTCGTGTGTCTCACAGAGCTTAACAGATCACAGGTTGTGGGATTTTATTTTACAACAATTTCATGCACAGGCACTAATATTATCTCTCACTGCACAGATAACTGAGGTGAGGGATCCTCCCACAGGGCCACACAGTGCAGAGCTGGAGCTGGGATTCAACCCAGGAGGGTGGCTACAGGTGCCAGCTGGGGTATCTCTACTGGATGACCCCAGCCTTCTAAGAAGGAAAGGCAGGCAGTCTCCCGACCCCTAAAATGCACCCATTCGTGTTGTGTCCTGCCCCCATCCTCGTGGCAAAAGGGGAGAGGAGACTGAGCTATTCCAGTCTGAATTATCCCTGGCGGTGCTCATCTCAGGTCACCTCAAGACTCTGAGACCTGTGAGCCAACTCTGAAGGAAGATGGGGAACAATGTATGCAGAGGACACTGAGCTCTCATTGCCTGTCTGCTGGTAATACTCACATCCTGGCAGGAAGTGAAAATGGCACACAGTCAGAGTGAGAAGCCAAGCTCGACAGGCATAAAGGATCTTCAAAGAAAGTCAGTCTTGGGGGGAAAAAAAAAACTGCTGCTGCTTTGCAACCAGCAGCATTAAAATGACCTTAAATGCCTTGGCTGTCCACAGTAATTGTGGCCTGTCTTTACAAATTCAAATTTGGGTGCAGTGGGGCTGGACTCGGCATCTGTCAGGATTTTGCATTCTGGACCCTGCCTTTATTTTCTGCTCTCACCAAAGTCTCTTGCTCAAGGTCCCCTCCTCCACTAAATCAATAGCAGAGAATGGCAGGGCAAACAGGCTGACGACACTTGAGAATCAGCCAGTTTTCCCCACCTGTGAACCATCTGGTATTCCCTTTCCCTCTCTTCTTTATATAATCTCAGAAATCTTAAGGGATCTCTTGTGTGTGCACTAGAGTAAAAGCTCATCTTGCTTTTTGCAAGGCCCCTGATGCAAATGAATCCTGGTCCTTTCATTTGCACTCATAGCTCCAGGAAAAACTAGGATTATAGGATAAGCAAGAAGCTATAGCCAATGGGAATAGTGTACTGGCTTCTAAAAATAGCCCTCTCCTCCTTTCTCTAATCTGCTGAAAGCATCTGAAGTATTTCCTTTGATGGAGGAGCAGGGCTGAGACAGCTAGGAGGAAGCCATGCCTCGAGTGGCTTGGTTTGCTAGATACTTACTTTGTATAAGGTAATATATAAGGGTACAGCTCCCGCTGGCCACCACACCGGAAAAAAAGAGCAGTCTCCCCAGAGGCAATGGCATTTTGCTTCCTGGAGACTTGAAAACAAAAGGCATGGATTTATTGTTAAATTCAGGTTTAGGCCAAGGGCCTTTGCCTATGTCGGGCCACAAGGGAAAGAAAGCCAAAGAGGAAGCCAGCATGGAGGCGAGGCCACCTTCCCTATTTGCTTCCTTTCAGAAAGCCGGGCAGGCTCTGGAGCCAAAGCAAAATGCCCTCCAGAGGGTGGCCCACATCCAGGACCCAGGCCGTGGGGGCGATGGCTGAGCACAGAGCAAGCATTCAGCCCCGCTGTCTTTTCGGACAGAACCCAGCCTGTGTGCCAAGTCCTGCACGGCCAGGAAGCACAACCACTTTGTCTCAGACCGGCTGGTAAACAGGAAGCTTATCCTTTTGTGGCAATAGTTGGTCTTATGAGGCTACGAATGGGCCGGAGTGGTCACTGGTTGCTTTCTTTCATATTTTGAAAAATGTCCCACCCCCTGGATGAGGAAACCATGATCATGACTTTCAAGATGAATGAACAGATGGAGAGGAACCAGCTCAGCAAATTCAGCACACCACACCCACCCTGGCCTCAACGCCCGTCTCCGAAGGCCTGGGTGGGGCTTGAGGCCGCACTTAGGCCTCAAAGGCGCCAATTATCTACCTTCCCAGTGGCCACTTAACCACTGCTCACACCTGGCCTGGGCCACTTGGTTAAGCTGTAAGATACCCGGCCATAAATCAGAGTAGGACACTGGCTTAGATCAGGGTCACCATTCAAATGCCCACAAGACCACCCAAGTCATATAAATGAGAGAAGACACTGAAAAGTGAGGAGTGCGTGGCCCAGCCAAGGGACAGCTTGAGCCCGCCTCCAGCTCATAATGGCTTTGTGAGCCAAGTCTAGATGGATCTTCATTTCAAGAGGTCTTTTATGTGAAACTGTCTAATTCTAAATGTTGACAACTAATTACAAAAAAAAAAAAAAAAAAAAAAACACACAATGCCTATGAGTCAGATTCTTTCCTCAGGCTTCCAGTTTGCTTTGACCACCCAAGCCGCATCGGGGCATCCTCACCCTCCGGCAAGATTTAGGTAAATTCCTCTGTCTTGGTTGACATTTTTCCAAAAAAGAAATGAGATTTTGGGCAGAGATGGAAATCCCAGGTTATAGGAAGAGAAAGATGAAAGTGTTTATGTCCCCATTTGAAGACTGTATCTTAGATTTTATGTGTTTATTTAGGACAAAGTCTTTGATGTGACGTAAAGGGGTCTAAGACATTGCTGTGCCAAGAGACGTGGGCATAATGCTAGCTCCTGTGCCAGCTGAACCTGTGAGTCAAGGCATCCATATTCTCACCATTTCCTCCTTTAACTTCTAGAATATAGAGTGTAACAACATGGTCTGCTTATCACTTCTGATAAGGTACATGAATCCATAAGAAGGCCTACTGGAGAAAGTTCCTCATGTGGATATTCTTTCTGGGAACTGAGAACTGAACACACCCTCAGATAAGGTTCAGGTTGACCAGTTCTACACAAAAAGTACATTAAATTGAGGTCTATGTATAGAAAGGAATTTCATCAACGTATCAGCAGGGAGCATGAAGCTGTAGATCATCCCTGTATTATTTACTTCTATCCAGTGTTATCCAATTAAGAGAAACCCAAGATACCTGTACCGGGATTTCTGGGACAGTTTTGGCTGGTGCTGGGTAGTTTGTAAGGATACTTATGAAAGTGGAATGTAAAGTTAATTACAGCAATGTGATCTGGGAAAAGTCACTTAGTCTCATAATGAAAATGGTCAGAGCAGCTCCAAAAAATGCATGAGTCAGATCTTGCTTAATGCGAAGGACAGTTCAGGAGTGTGGAGCAGTGAGTATGAATCACACAGAATTCCACACAAGGCTGTAGTTTCTAAGGCCAGCAGGAGGTGTGAGGAGAAAAGTGTTCTGAAGCAATGCAGAGACTAGCTACCCATCTCTCATGTGAAGTTACAGTCACGGGTGGACACAGAGACCAGGAAAACCGCACAATTATTGAGGGAGCAACTTACATCTACTGTCTAACTTGAGAATACTCTGGCAAGCTCTAATAGGGAACACAGCCCCCAGAACATGCGTTACCTTTGCCACTTCAAGGCGCAGCTTTCTTGAAAATCATCAGAGGACAGTTACTCTGCAATTAGATAAAGGTGTTACATTAGAATCAAACCCAGCTCTGATTTCCAGGTTTAGACAGCCAAGATTTATTACCAATCCAAGCTTTGCAACATGAAGTTAGGTTTAAATTTCAAAACAAGCCTTGTCTATAAAGGGCCCTGGTTTGCCCTACTTTCTCTTTTGCCATATTAAGAAGACACGACGAAGCCTGCTGGATTCCTGTGTGTGTATGGTGACCTCTTGCAGCAATCAGAAAACTGCTGTGGGAGGGGCAGGAGCCCTCGGGTCCGCAGCAGCCCACCGAAATGAGGTGCTATCAACAGAAGCTGCACACCATGAATTAAAGACAGTTTCTCGGGGTTAAAAAGAAACAATAATGTCCGCATAGACTTTAATAATAATGATAATAGGTAACACATATCTCTTACTATGAGGCACTATATTCTAAGCACTATACATACAATAAATAATTCACTTAATTCTCCCAATCACCTCATGAAGTAGGAACTACTGTTATCATCCCTATTTTACAGATAAACCTGAGGCATAGACGGGTGAAGTAGAGTGCCCAAATTTACAGACCTGTGTCTTAAGTGGTGGAACTGGGATTCAGACCCCGGCAGTCTAGCCCAGGATCTGTGTTCTTAATTGCCATGATACACTGACTTGAAGATCTCTGATTTCAGAAATAGTGAAATGTAAAAAAATAAATGTCTCTAAATTCAATATATCCATAATGTTCAGTACAAAAAGGGCTCATCATAAATGGCTTTCCTGCTATTTTTTGTAATAAGAATGTGGCATACACTTATACTTTCACTCTTTTGTTTAGCCAATGGTTGCTGAGGGCCAGCTCTGGTCAGATAAAGAGTGCTGAGGGGAGTACAGATGACTCACAAAAGGGCCATCATGTCCACCTGTGCAGTTCAGCACAGCACAATCCTAGCAGGGTGCCACTTCAGGTTAGACATCATCTTAGACTCCTATTTATTAAGACAGTCTTCCAACAAGTTGGAAGTTCTAAAAAGTAACTTGTGGAAGGGGTGGGTGCCTCCTTCTAATTTGCACAAGGGCCCCTAGTCCGCCCACACATGTGCTCCAGGAGAGGAAGTGACATGCAGGAAGTGGTTGGCTATGCCGGGAAGGGACGAGCAAAGGTTTCACAGAGGAAACTGACTGGAGAGACATCAGAGAACCAGGTTTCAGATCAGCAGACGTGAAGAGCAAAGGCCCAGCAGCAGACTACAGAGGAGTGGGAGGGTCACAGGATATTGGTCTGACTATGGAGGCAGTTCCTGCTAAGAAAGACCATTCATCCGCAGGTGAGGGGCTGCACACAGGAGGAGCAGCCATGCAGCAGAACAGCTAGATGACCTGTGACGGAGCGCAAAGCCAAGAGCTAACACTGAGGCAGGAAGAGTCTATCAAAAGGACAGTTTCTTAAACTATGTATTTGCTAACTGGTACGTGAGTTATTCTAAAAAGGATGATGGGTCTAACAAGGATGCACATTTTAGAAGAGAAGAAGAAAACTGAATGAGGCGATGAAGCCAAAGAGAAAATAACTTTAATGCAGCTAAGGTAAAGAGTGCACAAAATTACACTCTCTCACGCACTAGACGGGTCTTCGAGGTAGCCATAGATCGGACACAGAGCTTCCTATCTGCTCAGCAGAAAGGGATGTCTAAGCAGCTACAAGGACCAGAGTTGTCCATGGGGTAACAGAAACCAGCAGCCCAGGAGGAACCGCAATTCCTCGTACCCGGAGCCTGAGAAAGGTTCTCCCACACAGGCTCGGCAATGGAGTCTCTGAAGTGCCTCATACTGCAAACAACATCCCTAGGATTTTTTTGAAAAGTTCACAACTTCCAAAGAACTATTTTTTATAAGATCCCATAATAAAAGCCACAATCACAGACCAGGAAAAAACACAGCCAATTTATAAGTGGCCAAGACAGTGAGGCCCAGGTAGGAAGCTCTAATGGGCTACCCTGACCCAAAGGAGAAATGAGGAGTCATGACGACTGGTCTCCAGGCGGGTGCTTCAGGTGTGACAGTGGGGTGAGGGGTCTGGGAGTGGGGCTGGCTGGGAAGAACGGGGATTCAGCCTCGCCCCTCTTCAATCAGCTTCAGTCTACCTGCCTCATCAGCTGTCCTGAGAAAGTGCTGAGCAGCCTCCAATCTCACACACACAAAAATTCAAAAAGGCCTGGCCTAGGATCAGAGAGAGATTGTAGGCTGCCTCTAAGATCGTTACATCTTAGAACTAAACTTTTGATAACTGAAAATTTTTAAATTTGATGTGAAAAGCTGCAAGAAACTCAAAAGTCAGTTAGCCTAACACACAATTAAGGCAGATTTGTGGCTTTACAGTTAACTAAGAGGCAAGAGCTGTACACATTTTGGTTAGCCACAAGAAGGTGGAACAGAGTACAGGCAAGCTCTCCTCAGAAAGCTCTAACTAGCTCTGCTCTGACACACACAGAGTGACTTAGGCCTCCAAAGGCCAATGGCTTACAAACACTCTAGAACACCTTTCTAGAATCAAAGGGCAACCTGTGAAACTGATGCCGGCAGAGCTGCTCAGGCCAGCACAGGGTTGGAGGGGCCTCCTGTCTGCCTCCCTTTGAGCCCCCAACCAGATAAAGAAGATCTGCAGGAAGTATCATTAGGGGGATAAACACGAGCAGCCAGAGGGTTCAAGCCACAGGCAGGAACTGACCGGGGAAGCATGGAAGCAGTCTGGTGGTGCAGTCTCAAGCCGGGCTGCATGTCAGAATCATCTGAAGAGCTTTAAAAAAAAAGAGAGAGAGAGAGAGCTGTCCAAACCACTCCTCAGATCAATTAAAACAGAATCCATGGGGGTGGGATCCAGGCACAGGGGTCTTTTAACCTCTCAGGTGATCCTAATATGCAGCCAAGCTTAGGAACCAGTGGTCAACAGGAGCAAAGCACAGAAAGTCAGCACATGGCCTGAGATTCAAAGGCTGGTCAGGTGATCCTGTAGGAAATCCTGGGAAGTTAGAGACTAGAAACAGCTAGTTGATCCCATGCCACACACACCATCTACCCCCACCACATCTTGAGAGGTATAGAGCCTGTGGCAATAAATGGAACAGACCCCTCCTCCCTGGCACTGGCCAAGAGGCAGACACTGCACCATCAGCCAGGTCAGATGGTGGGAACCTCAAGCAGAGATGTGCCAGTCTATGAGATAAAACCCCTGAGTTTAATAACAGTTGAGCTCAGGAGGTCCTCACAGCAAGACAGTCATCCCAAAACCCAGCTGAGGAAGATAGACCAATCTACAGGTAAAAATCCTTGATTTTTAACAGGCATTTTTCTCACATTGTATATTTTTGAAATCAGGCTATGTCTTACAAGCGGAATTTCTTAGTAAAGTGATTCTTTTCTCTATACCACCAACCCAAAATTGTTAAAACCATGATTGACCTTAATACATCAAGAGTGGGCATTATAGGCAGCTGAAGAAGGATCAAGGCCAGAGCTTATATGTGAACCCAGAGCCATGCGACCTTCGCAGCAAGACTATTAACATCCCATGGTTCTCTCTAACTCTGGGCTTCGCTGGGGGAGACCCACTTATTTTCCTCTGGATGACATATGGCTGGTGTGGCTTATCCCTCATCTGAGTGACTACCATGGGCTAGGCACAATGCAGGATATTTTATGTGCACTACTACTATTTCTTATACTATCTATGAATGGTAGATATTTTTGCCTTTTTTGAGCTAGGAAAAAAGCCTCAGGAAAGGTTCTGAAACTTGCTCACGGTCACATAGCTACTATACAGCAGAGCTATCACATGTGTGTGTCTGATCCCAGAGGCCACATTTTTTTCCACCAAGTAACAAAACCTATGTTACAGACCACGGGTTTCAAAACAATCAGCTTCCCACGTAGGTGGTATGTGCTGTCCAAAAGCCACTCTAAAAGTTCACATGTGCCATCTGCAGGAAGCAAGCAAATCATCACTATCCTGGGAAATAGTTTAATCAATATATCTCCAGGCTATAAGATTTTACAGATCAAGACAAAGCAAAAACATAAAATCTACTTAGAGACTACCAGGAGGAGGAGAGACAAATCTTCCCTGTTTGTTGAATGACACTGTCCACTGCTACTACCCCTTGAGGATTACATATCCTTCCAACCTTCATAAAAAAAAACCATGACAGGAAGGGGAAGAAAAGGGTCAGAATGCTTAAGAAAAGAGAGATGAAAAAATTAATAGGAATTTAAACTAGAATGAGAGAATAAACCAAAAAGACAAAAATACAGGAAAAAAGAGATTTTAAGAAAACAAAACCATGAATAGTAAAATAAATAAAAGAAGGTAACTTTTAAAAAAGGAATGTATTATACTTGAGATAAAGACAAAAAGGCTAATACCAAAGAACAAAAAGATAAAAGCATGGGAGTAAATATATGAGATAAGAAAAAACTAAAAGAACTTAAATGTTCTCACCAAGAGAGAAATACATGAGGTGATGCACTCATTAATTAACTAGATGGGGGAATCCTTTCATGGTGTATAAGCATATAAAATCATCACAATGTACACTTTAAGTATCTTACAATTTTATTTGTCAATTATACCCCAACAACAACAAGAGGCGATGATATTGATGGGAGGGCACTAGAGTGGAGCTCTAATCCAATACGACTGGTGTCCTTACAAAAAGAGGAAGAGACCAGGGATGCAAGCACAGAAAAAACCATGTGAAGAGGCAGCAGGAAGGTCATCTATAAGCCAAGGAAAGAAACCTCAGAAACCAAACCTGCTAACACCTTGACCTTACACATATAGCCTCCAGAACCGTGTGAAAAGAAAAGAAAAAAAATCTGTTGTTCAAGCACCCACCTCCACAACTTAAAAGACTAAGAAGTTAAATGTTTAAAAAATCAAGCACAAAAATGTTACTGCCAGATTTTTAACCTAGGTTTTGGCTCCCGAATTAAATATAAAATATTTAAATTTATATGGCCTAAAAT